GTATCTCTTTTATTAGGGGAAGGATAGAAGGGTGGATAGAGGGAAGGAGACAAACAGAGACAGACAAACATATATACCCATAGGAAAGTGCGCGTGTGTGCCTGAGCAGACGCTTTATTCCATACACTTTTAGTATTTTTATAAAGTTTATTCATTTGTGTACATTGACTCTTTAGACGTCCATATTCCCTTGAAGTCAGCAGCCAATGTGCCTGGTGTTGGTGATTCTGGGACGCACTTCAATGCCCTCAGAATGAGTTGTTTCTGGCTTCATCCATTGATCACTTTCATACAACTCTTCTCCGGATTGCGACACTTAGGATGCGGTAGTAAGTGAGGTGAGTTCTGGTACAATTCTGCAGCAACACAATTCTGCAGCACCTTAAAAGACACTGTTGCTCAAGCCCTTCGTAGACTCCACTTCTGGAGATACTCTCAAGGGGTCACCTAAGTTGTTATATAGGTAATAAACATGGGTATATAGAGGTGCCGAGCGAGTTTTACGAAGTGGGTCTCCCAAAGCTAAGAAAACTGGAGGCTAGTCCAAGACACAACACATTTCTATGCCGATCACAGATGTACATTTAAAATTATTGGGTGTGGGTGTTTAAGTTCAGTAAATATGGGGAGAGAGCGATATAGTAGTACACGAAGATCCGATTCCCATATAGGGGATACTATTGAATGGTATGGAAGATGCCAAGAGTCCTCTTCTGGCTGTAACATCTCGAGTTATTATGAACTCCGAAAGATCAAAGAAGCCCCTTTCCAATTAGCCTGGATCGAACTGATAGAGATCCGGGTTTGAGTGAAGCAGGATGGAGAGAGTTGCCACCCCTCCAATTGCAGGGGGATGGACCCAGAGATGCTGCCCTGTGTCCTTCTCAACTTAACCCAAAGCAAAGTGCTCAACAAGATCTGAAGAGGAGCGACTGGATCTGCCAACCTGCTAGTGTGTGAAGTTGGTAGGAGTCGCACCCCGATCTTCAACATACTTAGGTGGAAGTAAGGGTGCTTTTAAATATATCCTCGAAGTTAACATTAAAGGAAGATACGTTAATCGAAACCCACAGCATGCAAAGCCTAAGGCTGCAATCCTTTGCAAGGTTCGGAGTGAGCCACATGGAAATTCACCGGGGATTTGCTTCCGAGTAAGCACACATAGAATTGGGTTGCTTATTCCTTCAGTCAATGGGTCTGAACTCCCAGTTCATCATTCAAAAGATCATTTATTTTGGAAGGTTTTAGGGGACTAATTTCCCTTTAAATAATTTGCAGAATGAAGTGGGCACCAGTTTTAAGAAGAAAACCCGAGTCTGCAGTGGTAGACACGCTTACCTAGGAGTGAGTCCCAGTGAACTCAGTGAGTCTTACTTCTGAGTAGACATGGATAAATCAACTTCAAGAACTCGGGCAGAATTTGATGGGCAACATTTAGTGCTGTTGCCCTACGTCCTCCTGTTAACTTGGAGGGGACGGCGGATAGGAGGGCCATCTAATACGTTTGTAAACCGCTTTGATGTATTTTCTTACAATCTAGCGGTATATAATCTGTATGTAATAAAGCAAACAAAAATAAATTGTTCCAGGAGCTCAGAGAAACTACAAGAGTTTCGTATTTTGCGGGGGGCGGGGAGGAGATGTTTAAATATGGTACATTTTGCTCTCTTTCCCAATTTAAATTCTTTATTTGGCTGTTGATATTGTTTTTAGACATAAAGCGCTTTCTTTCAGACATAAGAAGAGGGAACAAGCCGAAAACAATAACCAACTCACAATATGAAGCGATCAAGTCTGTAACTTGAAAGTAACGAGCAGTCCTTATATGCACAACTGAAACTGGAATCGTTGGATTTAAGCAGATACACAATCCGATGTACAGGCCAGCTAAGCTAAAAAAAAAGGGACCTCAGTCGATATTAGTGGAAATTGAAGACAAAATGGCGTCGCTATCTCAATATCTAGGCTTAAAGGGGTTGCGAAATCAACTGCTGTACCGCCTGAACGCATTGTACTGACTACATCGCAACTTCATCCCATATAAGTATATTTAGGCTTATTGGCTTGCTCTTAATTCATCACGTTTAGGTTGGGTCTGCAATCAATTGCTTTTGGGTTTTATCAATAGTAGATTCAGTTGCTTAGGTTAAGGGGGTCCAAAAGCATATTATTTGAAAATCAATGGGTCTTGCCTGTAAAACAAAGGGGGGCGGGGGGGGCGATCTACTCTAGCTAAACACAGCATAGTTAAATCCCCTGAACTGGCATATTCCTAAAGAGAATAATTTTCAATTGGAATAAAACGGAACTTTTTGATCAATGCATTTAAGATGGAGTCGTGGGCTTGTGGGAAGAGGGAGAGGTAATGGAACTTCAGTAAGCAGCAATTCAGATACCCTTCCTATTACCCCATAGCGAGACCCTGCTATAAGAACTCTTTGTCCATGTCCAGGGGTCATAACTGACTAAACTGGGCCAGACGAGACTGAATTCCATATGAGGAGAGTCATGGTATTCTATCTTAATCGGACTTGACTTGAACAGAGCGATATCTTTAGATCTCCCAAACTCAGGAGGGGTTCCTGCCCATATACATTTCCAGATTTTTTATTATCATTGTCAAACCCCAAATCCCAGCTGAGGTTAGGAAACTTGAACCGATCTATTTTTCACCTTCTACCTGGGTTTAAAAAACAACCGCCAAAGGACCCAACCCGGGTGAATATTTATAGTTTCTATATTTAAGACGGGAAGGGCGTGTCCAGTGCATTTCTCTTCGAAACCAGAAAGAGAAGGGGTTGTCTTAAGAGTATTTCTACACCACGTACCAAGAACATGAAGAAGGCGGAAGAGGGGTGAGGGCTGGGGAAGATCTCAGAAATTTAAGAGTTCACAACAGATTGGATGAGTTGATTTCAGGGCCTATTTGATTTCGGTGGAGGGGAAATGAGAATCCACCCAGTCTTCTCTTGGCCATCTTTACTGGTTGTGAGTGTGGTGGACCTCCATAAAATATGGTAGACAATCCATACGCTGTTGAATATATGCGATAATTTTATAAGGTTCTGATCATTAGAGGGCATCGAAGAGTCTACTGTACGTAGGCGGAAGGGGTCATATGTTCTTGGGCCTAATTTACAGAAAGTTAAGCGCCTAATGCCATCATTCTGTGAATACTTCCTTGGAAATGCATTACATTGATATTGGTCAGGCTTTCCTGCTAGTAGTAAACAGAATTAGGACTTGGATGCAACAAGTCCCGTAAGATTCACATACCCCATTTAACTTACTCTGAACGGTCTTCACATAACAAAGGTTTGGGATATTAGGTACCTAATTAACCTGTCGTGCGCCCCCCTTCTTTTTATTAACCGTCCTTTGCACTGCAGACAATGGATCACAACCCGGCAGCGTTGGGGGAGCTTGATCCACATAGAGTTTTAAGGGAATTGAAAAGTGAGCACAGCAGTACAGTACACAGGATCGTGGGCAGGAAGGGATTCTGTAGGACACGCAACATATTCAAAAAGCATCTTAGGATATCTTTAAAAGGTACTCGAATCTACCTTCCTACCTATCTGCCTGCACTTGCTGTCAGCGACGGAACACTCTCAGGACCGGTTGTACGGGACATCGGTGACTCCATAGGCACTCAATGTACGTAAAACCAACATTGGCTTAGCCTACACCGCTTTCAAAGCGTTTGCCGCTGACAATTTTACGATGTAATTAATTGGAACAAATATTAAGGAGGGTAGGTCTTGCCTAAGGAAACAAAACTAGTAACTACTGAGAGTGGATTTAAGAGATCTTTGGATTTCCAAGGAGCTTTTTTGATCTGGTACTTCCCTCCTCACTTATTTAATATGCAAGGTTTAGCGCTAACTGAGAGCAGATGCACTTTTGGAAATCAGGACCTTTCCAGCTCGACCCTACAGGTATTTACTCAGGAATAAATCTCACCGGGTACCACGGGATTTATTCGCAAGTAAGAATATAAGAAGATTGGAGCCCTGCTCTGCTGAGCACTCTGGTTGCGATCCTATACACCCTAAACAGGGAGCAAATCTCACTGAGCTCAGTGGGACTTACTGCCGAGTAGACCGCCTGCCTCTTATTCGAAAATCAGTCCCAGAGTCTTAAATAGGACGTGCTCCGGAATGAGGACGCACAGAGCTACAACAGTTCTCAGGAGACGGTAGTTGAACTCGTTGAGGCAAAGGAGACCTTTTCAAAATACTGTAGAGCTTTCTGTGGCAGGGCAAGGTCGGGTGGTTTACTGGTCCTTCAGCAAAGTAATTTCCCATAAAGATATGAAGTCAAATGCCAGATTCGCTTGCTACAGCACCTCTCAATGAGGTGCGCTGCTCCATCTTCTGCGTGTGGCTCCCTTTCCTATCTCATGTCCCAGCTATTCAGTCCTCTATTTGAAACAACCATGGAAAGTCTTCTAAGCGCATCTCACAACGTATTCAATACCTCCTATGAAAAAATGTTAAAATATCCACGTTAGTTTCTCTCCCCCACCCCCCTCATTTCCCTGCAAATGTTCTCATCGCATCACCTTTATCTCAATAGATTTCAGTCGGCTGTACATGGGAGAAACAGGTTGGGATCCGTATGTGATCTACTTATAAGTCACTCATCTAAACGTGTGGGGGTTTTTTAACTAAAAAAACAAGCCAAAAAAACCAACAAACCTGGGTTGAAAAACCAACCCAGTTTGCACTGCAAGCCTTCTCGACGCATGCTTCCCTCCTGGAGTAGTCCTATTGACAACAATGGAATTACTCTTGAGGAAGCAATGTGAGAATCTGGGTTCTCTTTTTCTTTCTTTCTTTCTGGAAAAAGCCGGATTGGATTGTGGATCAGTCTGCGTAAATCTGAACCTTTCTTAAAAAATTGAGGGGTGGCGGTGATATCAACTCCCCACTTCTCCTAGTATCAAAAAAAAATAAGGTCAGCTAGCCATATGAGTTTTCCGAGGCAGAAAAAAAGGGGAGGGGGAAGAAAGAGAGAGATTTATTTTTAAGAAATGTATTCTGCATTCAGTACATATCATTCGGACACCACATTATATACATATACAAGACATTTTTTTTCTTTAAAAAAATGGATCGCTTTAACATGGAGAAAGAACACTGACTGCTCTTTAGTGACTGATAATAGGGTGAGGGGGGACAACAACAGAGCAACGTCGCGCACTTTCCATACTGTCGATGGAGAATAAACATTCCAGGCTTTTTGGCGGAAACAAACAAACAAACAACAACAACAACTCAACCTCAGTGAGAACATATTCCAGAAAATTAAAGGTAATAATAATAATAATTAGAGACACGATCCTCCAGCATTAAGACTTGGAAATCCCATTTATACCCAAACTTGATTCCCTGCCCCCGCTATGAAAATCAAGCCCATCTGGAAGTGGCTATATTCGGCTGGATCGTGCCCTAGGAATTACACAGCCACGGTGCCACTTCAAATTCAGAAGTGACTTCAAATTGTTGGCGTCTAATATCAGGAACACAGCAACAACAAAACATTCAGGGTAGCAGCCTTATTATTATTTTTCATTCATTTTTTTAAGGTCCACGTTTAAAAACAAACAAACAAAAGAAATCTAGGATTTCTTCGCTGGATCCGCTGTTAATACCTTCTTCACAGATATATATATATCTATTTCTATATATATATATATTTATCTATTTAATTTTAATTATTATTATTTTTACATCATCAGAGACAGAAACAGCCAAAGAAATGGAAAATCTTTGTTCAGCTGCAAGGGGAGAGGCTTGGACTATGATACAGAGCTACAAAATAACATTCAGGATTCCAACGTAGCAAATCTACATATTTGTAAGTGTGTGTTCTCCCCTCCCCTCTTTCTCCACCCCCCTCCTTGCTAAATGTGCACAATGAAAACCATATCAAAATGAATGTTTAAAAAGGGCGACCGGATTCACAGTTCGAGACGGCAATGCAGGGACAAAATAAACCGAAGATGGCGGTTTAATGCCCGCCCCCTCCGCCTTGGTGTTTTTAAATAATCAGATTATTCAAAGAGTTCGAATGCGTGTTCTTATTTATACAAATTTACCAGATAAATATTTGTATTTGTTTGTTTGTTTCTCTCCCCCTTTCTTTTTAAATTTTATCTTTTTCCCCCTCCGGAGAGATTTCTTTGTCAGGTAGCGTGAAGGTGAGGTGTCTTAGATTTGCTAACGACTTTTTTCTCTTTTACCCTGCGATTCTGAAACCAGATAGTGACCTGGCGCTCGGAAAGATTAGTGGTCGCCGAAATCCTTCTTCGCTTCTCTTTGGTAATGAACTTGCTGGCGGCGTATTCCTTTTCTAATTCTTTCAGCTGGATTTTCGTGTAGGGGACTCTTTTCTTTCGACCCCTACGGTAGCTGCTCACTTCGGGCTGGAGAGGTACCACATCTGTAAAGATGAGGAGAACAGGAAAGGGGGGGAAAGCAGGAGAGAGAGAACGTGGAAAGAGAGAGAGAGAGAGAGAGAGAGAGAGAGAGAGAGAGAGAGAGAGAGAGGGTGTATGTTACATTAAACAGCATCTGGTAAACTAACTGGACAATGTCTGTGCCAGACATTATGGAGAGAACAGAGAGAGAAATAAGGAAAAGGAGTTTGTATGCGTGTGGGGGAAAGGATATAAATTAGAGGAAGAGGGGGAAATGCGAAGAGGAAAGACCGAGGGAAAGAAAGAGCGGGAGGTGCTGGGACTCGGATGGGCTGGCTGGCTGGCTGAGCAAAGTATTAATATATTAGCATAGGGCGGGGGGGGGACTGCTACTATTCCAGGCGATATTTGTCCAGGACAGATATAAAGAAGGAGCACCAAGTCACGGACCAGGCATTTCGCAAGCACAGCACCCTTAACGTTAGCTCCCAAATTAGTAAAAATTGGAGACAGAATCTAACCTTTAGCTCTTCACTCCCCTTCTAAGCATCCGGTCAATTTTAACCTGTCGTTTTAAAAGACAGATCCTCTGATAGCCTAGGCGACCTCATTAATTATGCTAGCTTGTAGGATCCGGGTAGGGGACTTGGTGAGGGGAAGCAGCCGTGTGTGTGTGTGTGAGTGCGCGCGTCTGTGTTGTTCTAGAGACGCTCCGCACTGATTGATCTATGCAACACAAGGACCATCTGCAAGCTTGAGGGACCTTGAACTAGCCTTTCCACATCCTTTGTCGCTTATGGTAGAGGCATTAAATAAAATAAAAGGGCCCAGCGGCTTTTTTGACGGTACCCAAGCTGTGGAGAAACGTTACCTTCCTACTCCTGGTCCAGAACCGGCTGGGGAATCAATGAATTCTCATCACCCTTAATGCATTCAGTCTTCTCCTTAATAGCCCCTTATGCTAAGGCTGTCTATGCCAATTCTTCATGATTAACTGTAATCACTTGCGCACCAAGTCTCTCCCTTCCCATGGCTTCTTGATCTAAAGATGCAGGCTTAAGACTCGATACGAAGTAAGTGGTTTGCGGAATAATAATATAAACACTGAAAAAAGAGGGGATCTCTATCGAAGCAAAGCGAAAATCTCTCCAGTTACCCCAGCCGGTCTGTTCCATAACAGATATAAAATAAAAAAACAGCCTGAACTGCTTTTGAAGACACACTTCTCCGTGCGATTGCTCTTCCTTTGTTTCTAAGAAGTGTCTGTATAAGCAACGTTTACTGGGAATCCTATCAAGGCCCAAGGATAGGAAAGCAAGGCAAAATTGTGGTTCACACTCCTGCGAGCGCGCTGTCTCTCTCACACCTCTCTATGTTTAGGAATTGGTGTATGGGGGCTTAATAATATTATCAGGGCTATACAAAAATGGGATCAGAATAAATAAGGAAATGGGGCGGGTTGAGGGGGGGGAAGAGAAGAGAAGTTCATTTACAACGTCTTCCACCTTCCTCCCGAGCAGTAGTAACGCACGGAGCAGGTCCTTCCAATCTCAACTACATTTTAGCCAGGCGGGTGAAAGCAAACGAGATGGGGATAGTCATCTCATGCTAGGAATCCCATGGACCTCTCTCCCCCACTCGCCGAATCCTCCCTTCAGCTTCCGCAAAGAAGTCTCAATGCCTTCTTTAAAAAAAAAAAAAAGCGCGGGGTGGGGACTTTCCCTCTGCCATCGACCCTTCCAAGCTCTGACACCAATATGTGGCTGCAACACAGTTAAGATCTAGATAGGCCTTCTCTCCCACACTCGCTACACTCTGATTCCTCTTCCCATGGAAAGGGAAAACCCATCATGCAACGCTCTGCGCAGGCATTGTTGGCAAGCCCTGTCTTATCCGATGGGGTATCCCCTCTCCAGTATTCCTAAGATAAATGTGTGTGTGTGTGTTCTCCTCCTAACCCCACCCCCTTATTTATTTATTTCCCCGGTTACTTTATCTTAATCTCTTCGCTCCAATCCATCCATTCGAATCATTAAGAGGGGCCTGCTTATTGATTACAAGGTGGGGACCCCAAGAGCAAAGGAGACGTCCGTTGGTCTTTCATCTTTCTCCCTCTCCCTCTCCCTCTCCCTCTCGCTCCCTCCCTCCCTGTTCTAAGTGGTAAGGCAATAAGATAAGCCCGGAGCACTCCCAGCTTTCAGGGTTACTCGCAGGCTGTCACTCATTCCAGATTTCTAACCAGAGGCAAAAGCAGCGCCTTATTTCTCGTTCTCTCCCCACTCGTCTTACAAGGTTCATTTGTAAGATTCATGTCACTTGACAGCTACTTCTGTAATTGCAATATGATTTACTGTACCTTTCCGAAAAGCCCAGCCTTTCTTAGTAAAGAGAAAGAGAGGGGGAGAGAGGGAGAGAGATGCTACCTCTTCCTATGTTCTGAAATTTAATTTAAAATATTCAAAGCGCGGGGGGGGGGAATCAAAGAAAAAGATAGAGATCCAGGTAAGGGAGCCAACGCAGAGAGGGAAGGAGGGGCACGCACGCACATACACAGACAGACACAGGAGTGCAGCTGCCAAACTGGCTGCGAAAGCACCCTGGAGCTCCAAGGTATGTATGTATCTGGATATGAGAACCGGCTGCTTTGTTTCACCTTCTTCCCCATACGTGCCCATGCAAGCGTCCCAAAGCCTATTTTACCTGGGCGGTTAAAGATTATAGCATATGCACGCGATCATGCCGGAGCAAAAAAGCGCAGAAGTCGATCTCAAGAGCACCCTACCTGGGAAAGGTGATTTCCAGAGATGGGTAGACTGTGATTGCTCCTTCGAGCAATAGACCTGCCCGTCCCAACCATTAGAAAGAGCCCAGTGTTGGTATCCTTCCATGGGAAGCAGCGCGTCGTGTCTTGGTTCTGGGTGGCCACTGATACCTGGAACCACTGATACGTCCAAATAACCAGGAACCGCCTGGTAGGAGCTGGCAAAGCTCGGGTAAAAAGCAAACTCTTTGGCCCTTGAGGATAGTTCTTCGCTGGGGAGGGAGCCGCTGGGCTCGGGGTATTTTTCAGCTGGGTGGTACGAACAAGGCTTCTGTTGTAAGTTCACGTTGTGGGAATGGGACAATCGGCATCCGTAGTAGCTGCCTCCAAAAGGATAGCCATAGCCCAAGGTGGCGTTGGAGGAGGCTGGTGGCGCGGGGCACTGCCTGGCGGCATCTGGAGCAGGTATATCCGTGTAGACAGAACCCTGGTGAGTCCCAATGGTGCTGGAATGACGACCCAATACCGGGTGACTGATTAAATCCCTGCAGTGGGTAGCTGGGCAGTTCCCACTTAGCCCTTCCATTGCTGGGATTTTATTCTGGTTATTTTCATTCGGGTTCTCCTCATACACGTACATGAAGGTATCCGCCCAGCGTGGATGCAAGATCAGTGAAGTCGTCATATCATGGTCTGCCCGAGCTTTTTAAAACTCGACTTCCCAAAGAGAGACACCTAATTTCCCCAACATATTGTTTACGCAGGAGCATGCGCAGAGGCAGCGGGATGGGTTCGGTTCATTAAGAAATCCGCCGGGCCACGTGACCTGTAAATAGCTCTCGCTGCAGTTAGCTCGGCCATGTGACCCTCCGGCAGCCCTATCACCTTGTTCCTCTTGGCTTGGGGAAGAGAGCGGCGAGATCCCATTGGCTATCTCTCCGCGACAGAAACAGAAATCCTTAAAGGCAAAGGGAGACACCCATTGATTGTAAAGAGCGTGGGGAAATAAATAAGGGGAATGTGGGTGTTTAAAATTTGGCCGACACAAAGAGATTGGGATATGCCATGCTAGAATCTTTGTGCCTTCAGATATCCTCAGGATTAAATATCAAAGTAATGATAGGAAAAATATACTTCAGAAAATCAATTATATATATATTTAAAATGCCCTCTCGCTGTATAGCTTGGACCAGGAGCCTGGTGTCTTAGATATCAATGAACCGCAGAGGGGAAGGGTAGCTGGGAGACTGTAAGGTGAGGAAAACCTAGAAATTGTAATATCAAGGGATATGATATAGAGCAAGGTGGCAGGTAGCAGCCACTTTATCTGATAAAGAAAAAATAGTGACTATCTGAAGAGGCGCACCAAAAATGAGAGAAGCTCAAATTCTAGAAGACCAAATGACGGACTAGAGCAAGTGAGCTGGAGCTGTGGGGGCTGGGGGCGCTTCTTTTTTTTATTCTTAAAATCCGCTTGCTGTCTGCCTGGCTTTCTTCTCCGTCCTCCCCCCTCCCTGCATCTTCTCTTTCTGGGAATCAAGTATTGGATCTTACGGGAAGTAAGGAATCTGGACATTTATCGCCCAGGAAATTGATTTTCTCTCAGTCTGTTTCAGTCTCAAGAGTGAATGGGGAGATTAATATCTGTTTGCTAAATAAATAAATAAATAAAAAATCAGCGGATACATTTGCTCAATAGAATTGTGTGTATGTTTTTCTTCCAAAGTACAGTATCTTATTTTTCACAGAAGAAGGTATGTGAAATTTTAACCCCTTGTTTGCTTAACAAAAGATCAACGCATACCTGCTCATTATAATCGCTTTAGCTTTTATTCTAATTATTAAAAATACAATTTCCCACAGAAGGGACATAGATTATGACATCTTTAACTCCTCCTTTGTTTCTTGGAGGGGTATTTCTCTATTTCTTTTTTGTTGATGATCAGTATTCTGCTGCTTTTGGGGCATAAAAGAGGAAGAAAGAAAACCGTCCGCCACCTCGCAAGAATATAATAGGTGCCTCCAAAACGTTTCGACGTTTTATGGGGTCTGTTCCTTGTATGAGTCCAACCCAATAATGCTTAATCTTTCGTGCTCAACCAACTGGGGATGTTTTAAAGGGACTAGTTGTGATTATGATATTATGTTATTAATTTTTAATACTTGAGTAGTAAATATCGCAGCAACAATGCCTACTATTGAAAGTGTGTGTGAGATATATATATAATGTTCTCAGTGTTGATTTGTGTGTGTGAAAGAAAATAAATGCAACTCACATCATACAACGTAAACAGGATCGGAGATGGATGGGTTATAATTAAACAGATGAAATAGAAGAATAGCGGACTACTCTGCCAGAGATTGATGGCTGCGATACACACACACACACACACACACACACACACACACAACTTTCTCGGGGACTCATGTCCCCAACCTTCAGAATCCTCTCACTGGCCGTTCCTGATTAGATTCTGATAGATGCGTTTGAAATAATGTGAAATTTAACTGGAGAACATCAGGGGCAGAGGCTCCTTCCACCTCCCTCCCTACCCCCACATTACACAATATAAGTTTGACAAATCAGTGCATCCAGACATGAGGATGATAATGTACTAATGAAGCAAAAGCAAAGAATTAATAGTTCAGACTTCCGTCCTGCACACAGCTTACAGGCCAGTGCTGTGTGTGCTTTCGCGGAAAAAGAAAAGTCTTACCGAGTTCAATACTTTCAAGCAATATGTACTTTCAAAGAAGGGTCGGTAAGCTTCAGTTCAAGTGAAGTCAATGAAATCCCATTGCAGCCCAAGCCGCAGGAGTGGTCAAGATAAGCCAAAAATCTTATGGAACTCTCACCCAACTCTACCTACCCTAATTTGTTCTTTTCAGTTGAGAACGTCAATACAAACAACTCTATGTGATTATAAAGGCAGGTGAAAGTCCGCTTGCTCTAAGTTTTGTTGGAAAGACATAAGAGTACCAAATGCATGTAGTATAATGTATGTGTTAAATAAATATTAATCCACCAGTTAGAATAATCATCATCATTTGCCCATTGTTTGGGAACATGCCTATCACGTTTGGAGTATGAATTTTCCCCAAATAAATACATTAAATATTTTTTTTAATCCTCAAATGGCAATGTCTCTCTTTGCAGCAGCATTTGCTGCCTCCAAGCTCCTTAGATCTCCCCGTCATCAAACTGCCATGGTCCAAGTGGAAACTAAGACAATTCCGCCAAAAACCCCCAACAAAGAACCCTGTCTAGAAAATGGCTTTCAGAAATGAAGTCTTTAGCAAACGTTCGGTTTTCTCCTGGAAACGTTCTGCCTTCTCAAATGGACTCCATGCTTTTGAAGCAACCGTTGCCCGAAGTCCTTCGGCCACAGCAACCAAATCAGTCCGAAGTCCAAGGTCAAGGCAAAAGAGACAAACTGGCTTGCAATTAGTGTCTAGACAGAAAAGAATGAACTTCACATATAGTGCCTATGTGGCTGGGAAGTCCTCGAATCCAAAGGAACGGCCATTGCTAGAAACGGGGAGTTGGGAGAGAAGGGGGTCATTTTAAATAGTTGGGGGCAAAACAAGGTTAGGGAACTCTGGATGAAATCACATTTTAAAACAGCGACAAGCAAGACGCTTCAGGTTTCTGGAGTTGGTTGCAAGAGTTGGTGTCCAGAGTGGTTCACATCCCAGTGACCGGTTCTTCAGAAGATATACCTCATTAAAATATAGTGATATATATATATATGGGGTATATGGGCAATTGACAATATCAGCGCAGAAAGGGTGGGGATACATGCATGGAAAGCTGGATTTCTAATGTGGGTGATGGCGGTGGGGTGAGAGAGTGGCTCCGGTAACAAAGGACCCAGTTCTGTGCTTGCAGCAGCGAGGAAGACTCTTCCTTACAGGAGGAGAGTGAGCGTTCTGATGTTGCCTTACGGCAGAGGAGACACAATCTGGAAATGGACAGATTGATGGTAACCATAATAAGGGACACTATTGGGTTGTGCTTGGTTTTGAATTCGTGCAGAACAAATACCTCATTTCTAGGATGCTTGCTTGCTTGCTTGCTTGCTTGCTTATTTATTTATTTATTTATTTAGGTGTACTTCCTGAGTAAGGAGGAGAATAGTAGTAGTAAATAAGCAAAAGATGTCCGGTATTTATTTATTTATTTATTGAATGAATGCAAGGCCATTTACAATTCCTATTTCAATGACATATAGGTTTAATTAAAATTGGGGTTTTTACAATTCCGTTTATTGTGGCACATTTGCGACAGGGAAAAGGGGAGAAACCGCAAAGACGAAAACTCGAGGAAATTTGCACATTTCATGCTCCGGGAAATTAACACTGGCTTTAAAACTTCGGTGGAAATTGCAAAATAAATAAGGCCAGAGGAATGAATCCATCCAGCCTTTTGTAAGAAATGCAATGCGTGTGTGTGTGTGTGTGTTTTAAAGGAAGTGGGGGGTGGGGGTGGGTTTGCATTTCTTAAACAGCAGGTTTATCCCACGGCCTGGCGTCCCCTTCATTTATCTGCCTTGTCTTGAGCTGCTTCTCATTTCATAAATTGCTTAGCGGTATCTCATTTAAACGGGCTGATCTTGCTAAGATACGGAGCTGTGGATTGATAGCAGGAGTCAATTCTAGTGGGTTAATTAACTTAAAAATGCATAAGGAGGCTTCTATCTCTGGGGGAAGAACACCGAGCAGATCTGTTTACTACATTTGCCGTGATGCAGTATATTAAAAGGGCCCCAATGCAAAGAAAGAAAGAAAGAAAGAAAGAAAGAAAGAAAGAAAGAAAGAAAGAAAGAAAGAAATTTTCCTGGACTATATTAGAATCAGGTATCTGTTGTTATTGCCGATAAGGGGTACATCTCCCAACCGCCTCCCCGTGCATGTTGTAGACATATTGACATCCTGTTTCATAATCAGAACAGTCTATGAGAACAATGCGATACAAATATAAGTGAGAACACTGAAGAATTTTCGGTATGGAAGTCGACATATACTGTGAAGTAAGTCTCACTCGGATCAATAAAGCTCACTCCCAGGTAACGATGTATAAATTGCAGTCCCACATGCTAAATAAGACCCATAGAATTAAGTGGGACTTGTTTGCTGGTCTATATGCCTGGGATCCGACTCTTTATGTGTGAAAAAAACCTGTTCAGCCGAAAACAAGTTTCATAAGAACAATAACATAAATTTCAGATTGGAAACCAGGAGGAGGAAGCAAATGCCAAATTCTTTATTAGTTTGATTGCAAAGTATATGATCTGATTTAGAAATGAGGGGTGTGTTTTTAAAATAATTAAATCAAAGCCCATCAATTGTTTGGGAACAATTGTCAATATTATACTGATTGTTCCTTTGGAACTTAGGTATTATCTAGTGTAGGAGACAGAAAGTCTATGAGAGCGGTAAGTTTATTTCCCCCAGTACATTATTGTTAGAGAACTTTTGTCACCTGGACGGATTTTTTCCATGCTGTATGATATTTCTGTCAAAAGTCCAGAAACCAGCCTGACCCGATTAAGACATGAATCCAATACCTTCCATTTGTAAAGTGCTAGAACCCGGTGATGCAAATTCATATATCTTCTCACCCCTACAAAAATTAGAAATAAACATGTTTCCACTAAAATATATACTGTTTATAAACAGAGTTATAGCACAGTTCTATACACTCTGATCAGAAGTAAGTCCTACTGAAGTCGGCAAGGTTTGCTCCTTTTGCAAGTATAGGATTGCAGCATTTACAGTGCAATTCTAAGAATGACTACTCAGAAGTAAGCCCCACTAAGTTCAGTGGTACCTACTCCCAGGTAAATGGGCATAAGATTGCATCCCTAATGTATGAACTGTGTGTAAAACCTTTTTTTTTAAAGTGTAGATCTTAATTCACTACTGTGGGGACATGTAAGTATATTTTCATGCGAATTTGGGCATACAAACAGTGCGGGGGTGGGATAGCACCCCGGAATATCTACACAGGGATAGTTAAAGGGGTTCACACAGCCAACAAAGTCAATAGGAAGCTGTGGAAGTTAACATTTCATAAGCACACTAGAAGACCGGCAATCCAAAAGTAGCTCTTTGGGTGCCCAGATATATTTATAACTTCCTCAACATACCCATCTGGTGTAATGATTTATTTGTAGTATGTGTTGTTATTTTAAAGGAAACATTTTAAAACACACACAAACCATAGGTATCCTTTCCATCTTCCTGCCACTGGTGGCTTTTGTGGCATCTCTTTATTCTTCCTCGCATTTCAGCCCATTGGTGGTTCCACCACTGAATTTTCTTTGTCCATAAATAGTCTGTAATTTTGGCTTTTCGGACCAGTTGCTCCCCACACCGCTGCAGAATCCCCATGACAGATTCCCGCAGTAATCTTTATATTAGCATTTCTAGCCCTTCCATCAACAAGGAAATCTGTTGGGTCTGCCCGTCACTCGCCACGAAAGCCCCTATAATAAATATAGGGTTGGAAGGGAATTCTCTCATTCCATCAACATGCTGGGCAAGGAACATAGATTTTGAGCCATCAAGGGAAAGCAGAATGCCCCGTACGGGGATATTTTAGCATTAACTGCATATAATTCCCCCCTGGAATGCAAATTTAGCCAAGAAATTGTAACTCTCCGTCTCACGTTATACAAGTACTGTACGTTCTTTCTTCTACACCCTCCCCCCTTTTCTTGCTTTGTGTGTGTATAAATATGTGTTTTCTTTGGTTTTTCAAAGACTCGTCTTCTGTTTTGTTCAAACATGTTCAGTACAAAGCTAAAGCTTTGCAAACTTCTCCGCTCCATTTTGGAGAAAATTAATGGTCATGGTTCCTTCACGGCAGAACTGAATGAATATAATTGTCCCAGGGTTTTTGGATTCTCTCCAAGGTGTAGCAGAAGACTCTGAAAGTTTGTAAATCCCCCCTCGCAACGGACTGACTGCACACAGGGTTGTGTGTGGAAAATGGCAGGTCAGTGTGTGTGTTCATAGGCAAAGCTATGGGAGACAATAGGCGAAGCATCCACCATCCTATTTCCCCCACTTATTTTTCCCCTATTGACCATCATGAATTCCAGCAATTCACTTCTAAGCACATTTCTAAGATGTCCTCGGAGTACATCGGCTTCAAAGAGAACGTTGACATCATAGGTTCTCCAGAAAATCCAGGCGCCGTTCCTTTGCTCCTTCCTCCACGGGTTGGGGCCCAAAAAATCGTCACCGAGTGGAATTGCCTCGAGAAATGGGTTGGGATAGTCCACGTTTTTAGCCGTTCCTCGGCGTGAATTTCTGCCCTCCTGGTAACATGTCACGTCCTGGAGGCCTGCAGAAGTCTAGAATTTCACAGGGGCCCAGCCTCCTGGCTCACTTGTTCATTGTTTTGCCTGGCGCTGCAACGAGAAGAGCTCTAATTATTATTACAATAAAACACGTGTTCGTGGGTGCTGAAACCAGTGCATTTATTTATCTGACGATGGTGGTGATGGTGATTATGATGATACTAATAGGACCCCTCCCTTGTCTTCCTTTGCTCCTTGTCATCCTTTCTCTATCCCACCCCCTTAGAATTTTCCGCAATAGAGGCGGTTCAATCTCCCTTACCCGTCTCTTTTCCCACCCCATCCCTCAAGAAATGGCGCATATCTTTTCTTTTTTAAAAAAGCATAAAACACCCTCTATTTTTCCTCGCCTTCTTTTCTGTAGGGTAGCTTATTCCTTCCTTCCTTCCTTCCTTCCTTCCTTCCTTCCTTCCTTCCTTCCTTCCTTCCTTCCTTCCTTTATTTCCTCTATCTCTTTAGGGAGGCCCTCAAACTTTTTTCCTTTCCATTCTCATTCCACTCCTTTCCTCCAGGATGAAAGTACTGAAGATGATCTTGCTTCTGAATGCTAGGGATAAACAAACAAATAAATACCTCTTTCGTCGTAGGCTCTGACACATCATAACCTAATGTGACGTTCCTTCCAGCTGGCAGCGCTATGTAGTTCTTTGCAGCGACTGAATGGAGGCAGTCACAGCATGGAATACAGGAGGTCAACTATCCCCTTCATTAGAGCGTGCCCCCCCTTTCCTCCTAAAGGAGTATTCGCATCTTTCACCCCCACACCAATACACCCCCTCTACTCACACACGCATACTCTGTCTCCTTCTCTCCCTATAAGCATCGGTCTTAAGGACAAAAGGCTATGGGAAAATGGGGGACTTGTTCCAGAAAGTGTGTGTGTGTGTGTGTGTGTGTGTGTGTGTGTGTGTGTGTGTGTTCGCGCGCCCTTTATATATTCTTAGTTCCGATGACTTCTCCGTGATGATTTTACACTCTTTTTAATAGAGCACTTTACCCGTTAGGAAATGATTCAGAGGCAGACAAATAAAAATATCTCCTCCAGCTTAGTGCCCTGTCTGGTCGGAAGTCCAAGTTCATTTCCAAGTTAAAAGAGGCGGCAGCCTTTCATTCTAAAGTCACAATGAGAAGGAGGGCCCCCCGTTTGGCCTTGTTGTTTGTGTCAACAAACGGGACACCTCCGAAGGTATTTATCGCTTTGCATCGTTTGGTCGACAATGTTCTTCAGAGGCAGCTGAAGGAAGCAAAGGAGATTTTATGTCTCTTCCTCTCTCTGGGAGTTCTCACACTTCGTTTTTTAATTTAAAATAATAATGATATGATTTCCTAAACGAGAGTATTCGGAAGTCTAACAATAGAATTATCCATATCCACACCCTGAGTCACCCTGATGCCAGAATAGTTGTTGACTATGGAAAACTTCTAAGGAAAAGAATATTGCGATGCAACCAGCAGGCCTCTGTGGGAAAAATCAGTGTCTTTGATTACATAAAGTTGTATTCAACAGCACTGAGGCAGGAAGGGTGTCCCATCAGGTATGTAACAATTCTTACTTTGTTTTCTTTCTTCCTCTGCCTTCCTCTTTTTAATTGCATTTATAATCTCTTTCTCCGGCTAATCTATGGGGAAACCATGGAAGCCTCGGGCTGTGATGTTGAGCGCACCTATTTAGCACCTACCTAAACAGGAGAAGGTTGACTTGGCAATAAAGTTGGTTGGCTCCAAATAAAGAATTGGAATGCTAAGCTGCAACCCTATACACCCTTATTTGGGATTAAGCCCCGCTGAATTTAGCGAGACTTACTTCTGAGCAGCCATACATAAGATTACACTTATGCAATGGGTTTTTATATATTATCGTTGTTGTTTTTGAGATGAGCACATCAAATTTCGGCAGAAAAAAATTATTTCCACGTAATGCCGAAATCTGGCGTTGGCAATGTAACTGCTGGAAGAGTTACTGGACGTCGTTTTGACGTCCAATGAAATCTACAAGTGAATGTTGCAACTTTTTTTAAAGCCCTCAATGATCTCCCAAATATCTTCTGGGGAATGCCTGGACACCTGAGGTTTGCATATGCTAGAGGCAAAAAGTAGAACTTTTCTAGTCTCTAAAGTAAACAGGAAATGGTTTCTTGAAACTTCCCGATGCAATCCACCCCCGATTTTTCAGATGCCCTCAGATTACTCAAGTTGGCAATAAATTCCTGTAAACAACAACAACCGGACGTCCATTCGCTATATGGCCACTTGGAGCCTCCATCTCTGGAAAACCATTGCCATGATTTTTCCTGCCGCTCCAGTAGCCTTTTCGTTGTCTTCGCGAAAGTCTAATCCTGATGATACTTTCGACTGGATAGCAACAATGCCCTGTACATAAGGGGCTATCTTAAATATTAAAGATAATAAACGCCCCTCACTTGTTGTATGATACCTTCGTGGACCCAGCCGGCACAACACATACACACGTGTTTTTTCTTTATATGCCTACTGTGCATTCATCATATGTGTTTAGGGGTATATTGCTGAATAGAAGACTTTCCCCCTCAAGAACGATCATTTCTAATGGCTATATAAATTCTCCTTTTCAAAGTTAGTGTCAAAAGTCTGCCAAAGTCTGCCAGAGTCTTCCCTTGTGAGCTCTGTCTACAGTTGTTTAGTGGGATTTGCTGCAACAGGGCATTAAAACAAATTTATATTTTACTCCCCCAACGCCTGTGCCTTTGTGCTCATGTTAAGTCATCCTCCTTGCATAACTCCATTTCATCATTGAGAACGGAAAGGGACCCTTAAACCAAAGAATTGTCAGTTCCTTCCACCCACACGTGCATGGCTGAGGGACCCGCCATCTTTCCTCCTTGGATACGAAGATAACCATGCATTTCAATTGTAAGCAATGAAAAAAGAATCTATGTTAACCGTAAGGAACAGAGAATCGTCGACCTTTGATAATACGACAGCAGCAGTGTTGGCTTCTTGTTCCTTAAAAAATGCAAGGGCAAAACCTCTCGTTTACTGCAGTACAGCAGAATCACAGTCTTTGAGAATTACTTGACATATTGTAATCGAAATGATATTCTGTATGTGTGTGTGCGGGAGCGAGAAAGAGATGAGCACATGCTTACTGAGAAGGAAGACCCACTGATGTTGAACTTGCTTAGGATCGCTCTGCATGTTTGTCCTGGGACGTACACTGGGCTGGAGAATTTAGTAGACTTTCCATAATCAGCAAGAATTCATGGAGGCGCGGGAAACTATAGGGCAGATAATATTAATTGTCTGATTAATTCACCGACCCTGAAAAGGGTGGCACACTCTGATAGCCAACACATAAACTCGAACAATGTGTGCCGAGTATAGTTTACCCACCAGGCTGCCAAGGGGTGTCACCTCTCCACGCTGCTCTGCAGCATTTATGGTCAGCTGCTGAGCTGTGCAACAGGAATGCGCCTTGTAACGTATACCACCAGAGGTATGAATTATTTACAGTCCGCATTTCCAGCAGCAATCTCACACATGTGAGATATGAAGGCTTTGAAATGGTCTCAGTACCTGGCTCGAAAGACTCCTTGCCCTAGTGCTTATCAAATGCCACTAGGGCACCATAACCCACCAAGAAAACAGCCCAAATATTCAGATTCCTCTAGGAAAGGTAGTTGCTCCATTCATACTGTATGTACAGGATGAGGATTTTGACAGCTTTCTGACAAATATGCCGAAGTGCTACTGCCTTGTCTTCACATGATATTGAGAAGGCTCAAAAGTCGAGGGGGAACAAACAAATAACCAGGCAGAAGGATTCTTATTCTCTTCTCTTTCGTCCACACGCTCCTGTGTGTGCTTAGGCAGACAATGATTATAGCTACATAATATGCTCCCAAGTTCCTATGTTGTTGTTGTTGCTGTTGTTTAGTTGTTTAGTCGTGTCTGATTCTTCCTGACCCCATGGACCAGAGCACGCCAGGCACTCCTGTCTTCCACTGCCTCCCGCAGTTTGGTCAAACTCATGCTGGTAGCTTCAAGAACACTGTCCAACCATCTCGTTCTCTGTCGTCCCCTTCTCCTTGTGCCCTCCATCTTTCCCAACATCAGGGTCTTTTCCAGGGAGTCTTCTCTTATGAGATGGCCAAAGTATTGGAGCCTCAGCTTCAGGATCTGTCCTTCTAGTGAGCACTCAGGGCTGATTTCCTTAAGAATGGATAGGTTTGATCTTCTTGCAGTCCATGGGACTCTCAAGAGTCTCCTCCAGCACCATAATTCAAAAGCATCAATTCTTCGGCGATCAGCCTTCTTTACGGTCCAGTTCTCACTTCCATACATCACTACTGGGAAAACCATAGCTTTACCTATACAAAATAGTTACATATAATTCAAGCATACCGGTTTTATTTATTAAGTTAAACTGTTGGTTGTTGTCCATCAGTGACTAAGTTCTGGAATTCTACCGTAGATGTACGATTTTTAAAAAGTAAAAGTTCTGTTTAATCTTTGAAAGTTCACCATAACTCATTCCTCTCTTCGGCCATCTTTATATATACCTTATTTTGTCTTCTTATGCAGCTTCAGCATCTCTCTGTCCGTCCATCCATCCATCCTTCCATCCATTATTCCATCCAATCAGCCTCTCTGTTTGTCCTTTCCTTCCCACCTCCATTTTCTCACTTGGTTTCCAACGAACCTTTTTGAAAAACTGAGAAACTTACATCAATACTAAATCACGGTTTATTATCACAAGATTATAAAGTGCTTTACAGTGTTTTCCAAGCATTTCTGTGCAGCGTAGTGGTCAATTGGGAGGTCACCAGCACCGTCGAAACAAGTTTTTAAAAGCAAACAATAAACTAGTTAGACAGATAAATAGATAGACAGATAGAAAACACTGCCAAAGAACTGACACACTCACGAGAGAGCGAGTTTCCCCTTTACACCACTCTCTTAAGCACCCTGAATTCAACCCAGAAGAAAAATTAAGCACTTTTAAAATCCTTTAGAAATTAATGAGATTATGTGTATACTTGTAAATCCTATTTAAGTATGTTGAACTTCCTCTGAGTTGAGTTTATTTGGAGACAAGTCCCACTGAAATCGCTAGGATTAAATCCAAGTTAGAGTCGTGGGTGTAGAGCCCAAACAGGTTTATTATGGCGTGAGCTGCGAAGTTGGCAACAGCCTATTTCATTTACTTAGGAAAAGGTCATTCCGTAATGGGTGAGTTACACTTCAACCCAGCCTACACTTGGAAACAATAATTTATTGAAGCTTCCTACTCACTAAGATTCGGACTGAAAATACAAGGCTGCGATTTTCTGCACCCTGATTTATGTGGAAGCCCCACTAAACTCAATGTTGATTTCAGAGCAAACACAGAACTGGACTTTTTATCTCCCACTGATTCGAATGGCACTTAACAACGCTTAATTTTGTCTCCATACCATATGATGATAATGATGATGATGTTGTTGTTGTTGTTGTTTGTTGTTGCTATATTATTATTATTACTGTTGTTGTTGTTGTTGTTTTGTTATTGGTACTATTACACTAGTATCGAAGAATGAGTACAATCTAGCCTAAGTTTAGCGTTTTCGGTCAAATGGTTATGAATCAGTCAACCACCTCCTTACTTCTCTTCTGCTGAAATCTAAATTTCGCTAAATTGGGACTCAACTTTGGTACTCAT